CGAGATGCCTCTGGAATGAGCAGTGGTCACTGCCGAGCAGAGCAGAGCAGACCAGACACAAAATGGACACTGAATTGCCTGATTATACACGCTCAGTTGCTAATGGTGGAGCAGAGCTACAGGATTCGGAGTCGAGTCAGAGTCGATCCCAACGGTGAACTGAGGTAAAACCACGCCTAATAGCTCTTCTGGCCAAGTGGTTGCGGTTGTGGGCCAGGCAACTCTGATGGCGCTGATGCGCAGGCAGTGGGTGCCTACACACTCCTTAATGCGATGGAGATGGAGAGGGGCCGTCCCCAAGGCTGTTTGCTCTCGAGTTGCTGAAACCCGAGCTAGCACAAATCGGGGTGTTTGGGCTGAGGACAGCTGAGGACAACTACTTTGTCGCCTCATTTTGCAGCAAACTTTTACCATCACCATCCCCAAACTCTTTTTGAGCGGCTTGCCGTGTCAGCAGCTGCGGAGTAACTTGACGTGGCTGTGACGCGCTCGTCCTTGAGCGAAAAGAAAGGAGGAGGAGAGAGTACTCCTGGCTTCTATCCACCTTAACCCTTCACCTCTCTTCATGATGCTCAAGTGAATCAGTTTTAATTCGTGCTAACAACAGCAGCGGAATTTTGACAGCATTGGTAATACGAACAAAGAAGCCTGCTGCGCTCTTAAAAACCCAACCCGACATAAATAAACATACATAAAGAAATAATGAACTTTTCAGTTCTAAACTCAATAAATAAAACAATTTCTTTGAACGATATTTCGCGCTGCTTAATAGCAGTTAAACTAAGTTTTACGAAAATAAAAAAAAACGAAAATGGAAGCTAACTAAATGCATGACTGCTTTAGAATATAGCGAACTCAAGGCTGCCAAGTATTTTCGGTAGTTTGATTAAATACCGATTAAAACCGTGAGCCAAAACTGGGAGTGGCAGCTCTGAGACATGAGTCAGCTAAGCTGGCATAGTTCCTTCTCCTAAGTGCATGCCACACATGACTACATAGATGTCTCTGGAGACCCTTCCACGAACGCGGACACGGACCCATCCCTTTTTTAGGAATGTGTGTGTGTTTTACGTGCAAAACTCATCTGACAAGAGCATGAAAAGCGAAAAATCATCTGGCAACACTTTGATATTCGATAAGATGTTTGGGCGCCTCCTGTCCCACCCCGAATCGTTGTCGTCATGCGGATTTCGTATCTGAAAGATGGAGTGGGTGGCAGTGGGGGTGACGCCGTGACGTCAAGTTATAAAATATGCGCGAAGTTCCCGCCGCCCATTCCCATCCCCATCCCTATCCCAAGCCTCAAGTTTAGTTTAGTTCGCTTTGCTTCCTGTAGTTCCTTGCCTCTGCTTTTCGTGTTGTTGGTATTCTGCCATACAAGGCATTTCATTTTATTGGCATGCCACGCCCATTTCAGATCTGTGCGTGGCTAAGTGAGTGTGCGTATGCGTGAGAGCGCGGAATGGCTAGATGGCTAGACTGGTGATGAGGTCACAACTCTAAGCTCGCAGCTCTCTGCAGAATTCGGAGATGAGATTAGTAGTATTTCTCGGGTACGGGTGCAAATACACAGATATTTTAACAAAACTTGTCCCGAAAGGGAGCAGCCTTTGCATCATTTAACTATGGGCGATTTTACGGTATTTCATGCGTTGGACACCCCGCATTTTTTATTTATTTTGTTTTAATGAAAAATGTTGTCAAGTTTTAGTTTGTACATACAATACGTAATGTTAGTTGGAATATATTTTTCGAACAAAGGCAACAGTACGTATGAGTGATATGCTTTGAGTCGAATGCATACATTAGATGGTCTAATTTTGCATAAACATTTAACATGAACATTTGAAGGTGCTAATCTCATTCGCTTACAGTATGCGCTTTGCTGAATTTAAGGCACAGCAATAGGAACTTTTGCGAAAAATGCGTTTAGGGTCTCCTCACAGGATTCAAAGTATATCACTCATACGCAGTATTGCCTTTGATCAAAAAACGTATTTTGCTTATTTCTTGTCTAAAAGAGATTCATGGACAAGGAACCATTATTACTAAAACAATAGACACTTTAGTTGTTATTTTTAAAGCTAGCCTGCCCCGCGCAAGAAAACGTTCTCGATTTTTGTATGATGTGCCCCGTAACAAAATAAAATGTCTTATCTGAATGCAAATGACTAAATGCAGTATTTGTTCAGAATATACACGTGCAACTGGCAATCCGACATTCCAATTAGTTTTCGAATTCCGCAATGCATGACGGGCGGTGGCAGTATTGCTTAATCGGCCGGAATTATCACGGAGAATGTTTAATTGTGTGCACGAGATTCGGATTAGCAGGACGCCAACTTAGCAGGCAAACTTTTCCACCGACTTCGAAGCTGGTTTCAGTTTGAGTTTGAGTTTGAGTTTCAGGTTCATCCAGCCATTACCCGCATTGAAGCTTCGATCCGGGCGTAATTCTGCATTATCGAATGCGAACCAAAGTGCTGGGACAGCTGCGACTCCTAATTGTGCTTTATGCCACTCGGGTGCGGAGTTGCCATTGCCTTTGGCGTTGCCTGTGCCTGTGCGACCGAGATACATTTTCGAGGGCAGATACAGATAGATTTATGTGCTGCCAGGGTGGAGCGGAGCTTTTTCTCTTTTTCCACTTGCCTGCGCCAAGCGTACTATAATGTGAAAAGTTGCTTAAGTAGGTGGGGTTGCACACATACGGGGCATACGGGGCATACGGGGCATACGGGGCATACGGGGCACCTTCACGAACGAGCGCCCTGCACTCTATCACTTGCATTGTTGGCAACTCGTGATAACTTGCGATAAAAACGAAGGCAATTGAATGATGCTTAAATGAAATTAATGGATGTTATAATAAGTTGACGAAGGCATCCACGCCTCGTTTCCCTTTCCCGCTGCTCCCTGGCTGCTTTGGCTCTTTGGCTGCTTTGGCTGCTGTCAGAGCAGACAAAGTCGAGCGAGGACGAATGCGAAGGGACTCAAAGCCGGAGCCAAGTCACCAGTGACAGCTGTCAGCTGACTCCTGCTCCTGCTCCTGCTCCTGCTCCTGCTCCTGCTCTGGCATAACAATCAGCTCCTTCAGCTTCTGCCTGCTCTTTTGGCATATACATTTTGAAGGGGGGCGCTGCTGTGTCAAAATTCAATTTGCACATTACAAAAAGCCAGCTTCGCCCCGCTCCTTTGTGGCAGCGCAATTTTCAACTTCTTTGGCCACCACTTCCGGAGTCCTTCAGGGCATCACATCACAATTTCTCAAACGAAGGAACGGACGGTCGACCTTGATGAATTGTCGCCTGCCTTGACGCGCGCCGCATTATCTGCCATGTTACGCACTTCCCGGAGGCGTGGTTTAATCCCGATGCGAGTGTGATTTCCTTCAGCAGAGGCCACAGGACACGGACACGGATAGGGACACAAAAACGGACCCGAATATGGACACGAATTCGTACACGAATACAGACACTAAAACAGACACAAATACGGACTCAAACACGGAAACGAATAAGGAAACGGACACGGACACGGACCTGGAGCTTGACACTTGGTAATGCAATTACTGGGTGCTTAATTCTCGCAATTAAATTCCCTTTTGGACGGAGGATATAATTCCGTTATGGGAATTTCTATTCTCGGTTAAATGCGAACAAAGGTCTACAGTCTATAGTCGTCCCCCACCGGTCTGCCGCATTCCAATTAAGCTCTGGACCATTGTCCATCGATCCTTCATCATCCCGAGTGCGGGTGCGGGAGCGGGAGCGGGTGCCAATGCCTAGCCCATGTTCATCCATCTATCTGCGTATCTTTGCATCAATATATACAAATCTGCGGCTGCGAATCCATCCGGGCCAGTGCCGACGTGTAAATGGTAATTGAATGCAAGAAGTCTGGGGGCAGGAAGGAAAATTAGCAAACCCCGCACACCCAATAGCTGTCGCACAGAGGGCAGAAAGCAGAAGTGAAGTGATGAAAAAGTTAATTAAACTTTTTGATGAGATTTCACATTTTGCCAAAACATTGACAGAAGACTGACAGTCCTACAGGGGCGAACATGCAAACGGGCGAACAGGGGTTATCGCACGTTCCCTAGGACTTGACAATGTCTTGTCATCGATTCCGACTCCGTCGCGTCCTCCCCTAGAGCTCTCTCAACTTCTGGCTACCAAAACTTCCGAAATTTTCTGTGGTCACTGGTGAGAACAATGGCATCTCTTTAGAAAGTCATCACACACCCATCGCCGCACCCGCTTTTTCAGCGCCAATGAAGATTGCATATGAATAATTACCACGTCGCTGCGGCCTGAAATTCCTGCCGGCATCACCGTAGTTCCTTGAAGTAGGTCAATTAGCTAGTAGGCCTCGTGCGACTGAAAAGAATCCGCGTCAATACTCCCCACATCCCACTTTTCATTTTTCGGATTCCAGGCCTAACCACAGTTGGCAATCCAATAAAAGGCTCCCACTCCACCGGGTGGCACCACCCAATCGTAAAACAAGTTCGGATGGTGGCTAATCTGCAATTAATTGCCACACATCTGTACACAAGACACGCACGAGCTGAGACTGAGATTTCTATTGGAAGTGGGGGTGGGGATTTGGGGTGAGGAGCTGGAGTGGAAGTGGGTTTGGTCTGAGGTTAGTGGGTCAGATATGCAAATGAACTTGGACGGAAATGCACTGTTAGATCTTAAGGCATTTTACCAGAGCATGTTTATTCAAATAATGTTGAGTTCTTGGGAAAATTCTGCATTAAACATTTAAAGTATCATATAAAGGAAGGATCTGATAAATCTTGAATAATACCAGAATGTGAAATTTTTTTTGTGTAAGCTAAAAGCTAAATGAAGCTTAGAGTGTGATGTGTTACTTTTAATGGAATCAAAAAGTCAACAACCAAAATATCTGATACTAAACGTTGCAGCAGAAAATTAATATTTTTTGTGTGTGGGATGTTCTGTACTGAACTTACATATCTCCCTGTCCAACAGCCATCCTAAGCACGCTGTGCAAAGAGTTCCTGCGCGTGAACGTCTCGGCCATCCTGTACATGATGAACAACGAACAGTTCGGACACAGCACGGCCTCTGCGCAGTACTTCCTGCAGTTGGCCGGCTACCTAGGCATCCCGGTGATCTCGTGGAACGCGGACAACTCGGGTCTAGAGCGGCGTGCCTCGCAGTCGACGCTGCAGCTGCAACTGGCGCCGAGCATCGAGCACCAGAGCGCCGCGATGCTGAGCATCCTGGAGCGCTACAAGTGGCACCAGTTCTCGGTGGTCACCTCGCAGATAGCCGGCCACGACGACTTTGTGCAGGCGGTGCGGGAGCGGGTGGCCGAGATGCAGGAGCACTTCAAGTTCACCATCCTCAACTCGATCGTGGTCACGCGCACCAGCGACCTCATGGAGCTGGTCAACAGCGAGGCGCGCGTGATGCTGCTCTACGCCACGCAGACGGAGGCCATCACCATTCTGCGTGCCGCCGAGGAGATGAAGCTCACCGGCGAGAACTACGTCTGGGTGGTCAGCCAGTCGGTCATAGAGAAGAAGGACGCCCACTCCCAGTTCCCCGTGGGCATGCTCGGCGTGCACTTCGACACCTCCAGTGCGGCGCTAATGAACGAGATCTCCAACGCCATCAAGATCTACAGCTACGGCGTGGAGGCCTACCTAACGGACCCGGCCAACCGCGACCGCCGCCTCACCACCCAGTCGTTGTCCTGCGAGGACGAGGGACGCGGTCGGTGGGACAACGGAGAAATGTAAGTGGTGACCCCAATGTAGTGCATGTTAGTTTACCCTATCCAGGAACAGGTTTACAAAAGGCCCCTGACTAATGAATCAAAATGATCGGATGAAACATGCTAGCATCCCTCATCTACTTTTCCAACGAAGACTTGGTTCACAGAAGGTCTATTGTATCTTTAAATTACCCCTTTACCGGGTTAAGCCCCTCACTTAATAAATCAAAATGATCGGATGAACACAGTTTTGACAGGTTAAACATTTGTTGTAAATGGTGACCCCAATGCAGAGCATGCTAGCATATTTCAACTAGTAGATTAGGTTCACAAAAGAGCTATTGGACCTTTAAATTATTTTTTAACAGGTTTAAACCCCTTACTATATGAGTTAAAATGATCGAATAAAACACAGTTTTGGCAGACTAAACAACTAATGTGCATGCTTCCAATCCTTGTAGCGATAATGCAACATTTCGTAGTCAATGCTAGCTGGTGGGCCCCCATTAAGCTTTTGGTATCTTTCCCAGCTTTTTCAAGTACTTGCGCAACGTGTCCATCGAGGGGGACCTGAACAAGCCGAACATCGAGTTCACGGCTGATGGTGACTTGCGCTCGGCGGAGCTCAAGATCATGAACCTACGGCCCAGCGCCAACAACAAGAACCTGGTGTGGGAGGAGGTAAGTGGAGGCTTGCTTGCATGCTTTTCTTAATCCTTGCTCACTTTGCCACTTTCCTTACGCTCACTCTGCCCTCTCCACTCTGATCCACGAACCACCATCCACGATCCACGACCCACTCTGATCCCGCACCGATCAATCGATCTTGCACCGCTTTATACTTATGCCACCACCTCGATCCGATCCACGACTCCAATTGGGGCAGATTGGAGTGTGGAAGTCATGGGAGACGCAGAAGCTGGACATCCGCGACATTGCGTGGCCTGGCAACTCGCACGCCCCGCCCCAGGGCGTGCCGGAGAAGTTCCATTTGAAGATCACATTCCTCGAAGAGGCACCCTATATCAATCTGTCGCCCGCGGACCCGGTGAGTGGCAAGTGCCTGATGGACCGCGGTGTGCTCTGCCGGGTGGCGGCCGATCACGAAATGGCCGCCGACATCGACGTGGGCCAGGCACACCGCAACGAGTCCTTTTACCAGTGCTGCAGCGGCTTCTGCATCGACCTGCTGGAGAAGTTCGCCGAGGAGCTGGGCTTCACCTACGAACTGGTGCGGGTCGAAGATGGTAAATGGGGTACCCTCGAGAATGGCAAGTGGAACGGCCTGATCGCCGACCTGGTCAACCGCAAGACGGACATGGTCCTCACCTCGCTAATGATCAACACGGAGCGCGAGGCGGTCGTCGACTTCTCTGAGCCCTTCATGGAGACGGGCATCGCCATCGTGGTGGCCAAGCGCACGGGCATCATCTCGCCCACGGCCTTTCTGGAGCCCTTCGACACGGCCTCCTGGATGCTGGTAAGTAGAGACTGCTCCTCTTGCTCCTCTTTTGTCCCACTGCCCCACTGCCCCTCTGTCCAGCCTACTCACGGGTAAGTGTCCTTGCTCCTCTCTATGTTCCATCTCCAATGCCCAGGTGGGCATAGTGGCCATCCAGGCGGCTACCTTCATGATCTTCCTGTTCGAGTGGCTGTCGCCCAGCGGCTACGACATGAAGCTGTACCTGCAGAACACCAACGTGACCCCGTACCGCTTCTCCCTGTTCCGGACCTACTGGCTGGTGTGGGCCGTCCTCTTCCAGGCCGCCGTCCATGTGGACTCGCCGCGCGGCTTTACCTCGCGCTTCATGACCAACGTGTGGGCCCTCTTCGCCGTAGTCTTTCTGGCCATATACACTGCCAATCTGGCCGCCTTCATGATAACCAGGTGAGCTGGGGTCTCCGTCCCTCCATCTCTGGGAGCACAATTTCAATCTCTATCCTGCAGGGAGGAGTTCCACGAGTTCACCGGTCTCAACGACAGCCGTCTGGTGCACCCCTTCTCCCACAAGCCCTCATTCAAGTTCGGCACTATTCCGTACAGCCACACGGACTCGACCATCCACAAGTACTTCAACGTCATGCACAACTACATGCGACAGTGAGTGGCTCTTACTATTACTATGTTTATGCCATGGATTTCATGAATTGAGGAATACGTGTGCAGACGAATTCGTGTTAAGTAAAACCCAACGTAATTTACATGTGTGGTTCCTCTGCTAGTATTAATACTTTAGCTGGTTATTATTATTACTTTCACCATCGTATCTGATAGCTTGGCCCAGGGGTGCCTTGTATACTGATCTGCAATCTCCAATTGTCATTCTCCTGCAGGTACAACAAGACCAGTGTGGCCGATGGAGTGGCGGCCGTGCTCAACGGCAACCTGGACTCCTTTATTTATGACGGCACTGTGCTGGACTATCTGGTGGCCCAGGACGAGGACTGCCGCCTCATGACCGTGGGCAGCTGGTATGCCATGACGGGTAAGTTCAAGTTTAATATTTGCAATGAGAATTGCATGTAAACACATGTTTAAATAATGACCATTTTTCTAAAAGTGTTGAAAGATGGGGAAAGTTTTATTCAGATAGCTTTTAAGGTAACAGACTAGTTTGCGTTGAAACAGAAAGACAAAAGGACAGAAGGACATAAGGACAGCTGGATGGACTCGTCGTTGAATTATAGACCTTAATTGTATGGTAGTTTGAATGAGAAAATAATCAGCATCTTCAATAACGTATTATGATCTTGACAGAATTATAGAGAAATACGTTTCAATTGAGTTGTAATTGTTTAAGCTTGGTTCACTTTTTGACGGAAACGCCCTTGTTTTTACAACGTAATTTAAGCCCATAATTTGATCTGGCTCGATGATGGTAATTTACGGTTCTGCCCCTCTTTCCGCCGCAGGCTATGGGCTGGCATTCAGCCGCAACTCCAAGTACGTGCAGATGTTCAACAAGCGGCTGCTCGAGTTCCGGGCGAACGGGGACCTGGAGCGGCTGCGGCGCTACTGGATGACGGGCACTTGTCGGCCGGGCAAGCAGGAGCACAAGTCCTCCGACCCCCTGGCCCTGGAGCAGTTCTTGTCCGCCTTCCTGCTCCTGATGGCCGGCATCCTGCTGGCGGCGCTGCTCCTGCTGCTGGAGCACGTCTACTTCAAGTACATCCGCAAGCGGCTGGCCAAGAAGGACGGCGGCCACTGCTGCGCGCTCATCTCGCTGTCCATGGGCAAGTCGCTGACCTTCCGCGGCGCCGTCTTCGAGGCCACCGAAATCCTCAAGAAGCACCGCTGCAACGACCCCATCTGCGACACGCACCTCTGGAAGGTCAAGCATGAGCTGGACATGTCTCGCCTGCGAGTCCGCCAGCTGGAGAAGGTCATGGACAAGCATGGCATCAAGGCGCCGCAGCTGAGGTGAGTGTTCGACCTTTTTTTCAGGGGTGCTGAAGCCTTATGGCAGTGCATTTACCAACACAGTTAAAAAAAACACACATGCACACATGTAACAACTGCCAGAGTCCACGATTTGGATTAGACATGAAAAAATGGACCATACCTATTGTTAGCTTGCCTCAGTCTTATTAGCAACACAAAGAACAAATGAAACCCCTTCTATGGAGTATAGGATTCGGAACTCACACTTAACTCTTTCTCACTAATATTTTGTAGGTAATTATATATCCATGTTTACATGTCCGTTGCAGGTTGGCCTCCTCCTCGGATCTGTTGAACCACCATCATCTCAAGGAGCGGCCGCCGCTGCTGGGCAACCTGAGCCTCGCCGCCAGCGCCCAAGATCTATACAGGTGGTAAGTTTTCTTTGTGCATGCCTTTTCCTGCACGACTTCCTGCACCCAGCTCTCCCTTCTCGCCCTCTTGGATGTCCATGTCCATGTCCATGTCCATGACCATGTCCTCCACTCCCGTGGCTGTAATTAAATTAAGCAATTGCTTGAGATAACATTCCAGCTCGGTGCTCAGTGTTCAGAGTTCTTTTTTCCGGACCGGGCCGTGCCGGGACTCGTTACTGGCCACGCTAATGATGCCGGGCAGCTGCTACAACACCCCATGTCTCCCTGGGGGCATTTCTCTGGTTTCTGCTCTAATATAAATATATGGAAATTACTTTATTAAATTACTTTATCTCGGTTTCTGATTCAGCAGAGAGACACTGGCGGGGCGGCTTTCCCTTACCCATTCCCATTCCCATTCCCATTCCCATTCCCATTGCCCAAGCCCACACAGACACACAGAGCGGAGGGACACGGACATTCCCTGGTTATAGTCTTTAGTTATAGCACAATTTCCGACAGTTCCTGTTGTCGTTCATTGAGGAGGCAGAGGCAGTGAAAGTGGTAGTGGTAGTGGCTGGGGCAAAGCAGCTTTGCCTTTGTGTGAAGTGACTAAGAGGGGATTGGGTGGGTCCCTTCATTTGCATATCGACTACAGTGGGTCGGGCCCCGGCTAGGTAATCGGATGTGAAAACGCTTTATGACCCTCCACAGTCCCAGCTGCAACCCCCTTGACAGCAGGACCAGAAATTATCAGATCAGGGTAGCACTGGCAGCCGGCACCCGGCATCCACAATATCGTTTTCATCTCCATCAGCATCGGTAGCTCGCCACTGCACCGCCACAAGTTTCCCTGGTTTTCCTGGCCAGTCAATCACTCACAGCACAAACACCCAGTTTTGTGTGGGGTAACACCTTTATCTATACCGCTCCACCAACTGGCATCCCACCTCCGGGTCAGGGGTCGGTTTCTGTACCGGTATTACGGCTTAGGGGCGACTTTGTGGTGGCCCACTATCCAGTGGGCCTTCCGGACTGTAAATCTGCACAGGACGATGGAAGCTTGCAAGTTATAAATGCTAAGCTGTATTTAATGCTGATCACCCTAAAAAGCCACTTTGGATACCTCATTATTGAGCATTTGCAGTTTTAACGGTTTGAAATTAAATAAATTCATACCCGATACCAATATCGTTAGGGGAGAACATAAATATTCAGGCAAGAAGTTACAATTTTAGTCATTTGCGTATATTTTACCAATTTAATTTCAGACAAATAATCTTTTCTGTCTGTTGCATAACATCATTGTAATACTTTTGTAAGCTCATGTTACCAGCTTTAATGCTCAAGTGGAAGTATTTTTGTGGGCCATTTCCAAATGCCGTCCACTGTATCGGCATGGATGTTCGGGAGTCACACCAAGAGACGTTTTCATTAATTACTGGCAAGTAAACAGTCCGAGAGCTTTGCCAACCCAGTTTGGTATTAGGGGGCTGAAATGGCTAGGTGAGCTTGCCGGAACAGTTGGAGCGTTCTTCTCTGCGGTTGCATTGTCTGTCCGTGTCCGTGTCCGTGTCGTTGTCCGTTGTCCTTTTGTCCGTTGTGTGCATTATGGCGTGCCAAGACTTATCCAACCCTGCGAATGGAAAGATATTTATGTTGGCTTTTGCCGCTTTGCCGCCGATGTTCCATTGTGAACTTGAGCTTGGACTCCTTCAGCATCCTTGGCCACATGTGTGGCCCCGTGCTAACTTTGGCTTTTATGTTAACCAGTTCTACCCCAACAAAAAAAAACAGACACAACGAAACTTTTGAGCGAATTGTGCAAATTAAGTTCAAGCAACCGAAAAACGAGCCCCAAAATGTTAATGTGGGTGTACACGCTTTTCCAATTCAGAGGAAAAACGTGGGAAAATCTTCAAATTCGAGCCCGAATTTTAGACGAAGAAGAGCTTAATAACGGATGATGAATAACGGGCACCAATTATGCCCAGGGGAAACCCCTTTGTTGGAATGAAGCGCCTGTCCGATCGTGTCACGGTCTCACCTCTGGCACACATACACCTGACCTCCGAAGCACCGCCCCACCTTGTCCCCGTTTGATGATTCGCTTTTCGCATTTACTTTTTGGCACTAATTCATTTACATACGAACCCTTGAGTGCTCGCCCCGTTGGACTCTGATTGATTGATGATGCCCAGGTCTTTGGACGTCCGCCCGAGCCGAGTCCCTTCGCAATCCCATTGGCATTCCCATTCCCATTCCCATCGTAGTTTTCGCTTCCTCCCCCCACCATTATGGCTAATGCTTTCGATTTTCCCTGGCAACATCCTCACACACTGAACATACAAATCCTTATTTGTTGGCTACCCCACTATACCCATTCCAGTCCAGATAGAGCCTGATTACAATTTGTCAAATTTTACATTGGCTGGCAGGCTAATAAGCATAACCCGACACGCATGTCCTGCACCACTTTATCTGTTCAGCATGCTTTGTAAAATAAAGTAGCAGTAGTATATGTTTCCCCAGTCTAAGTCCTCCAACTAAAACTCTCCTCCAAAATGGATCGCAGGTCGTACAAGACGGAAATCGCCGAGATGGAGACGGTGCTGTGAAGCGTTTATAGCTGGAAATGGAGCTGCTACTCTAGACACACTAGGCACACACCGCAATCGAGCAACGTATTTAGAGTGACTGGAGCCAGAGTGCAGTACGTCTAATCAAAATCAACGTTTCAAATAAAATGTAAACTGAAAGCTTTCGGAGGTTAGAGACAGGGAGATATGACGTGGCGAAATAGAAGCCAAAGCGCCTCACGAAAACCGCACACGAGACACCCAGATTTCCAGCCTAGGGAAACCCAAAGATTGTATAAAGTTAAACTAATTGTAAAACAGTAAAACCAACAGCTAAACCTAACGGCACACGGGGACAAACAACCAAAACAAACATAAAAAAAACCAGCCGCCGCACGAGTATTTCATAAAATAAGTTTTAAAGGAGATCAAGAATGTAGAGGTAGAGGAGAAGCTGGAGAGATCAACCGTTACACTTTTGGCGATTGAACTGTAAACTGTAAGCCGTTAACAAGAGATTGGGGCAAGTAGAAGAAGAAGAAGAAAAGTAGATTCAAGCCAGAGTTGAACATGTTTGTATGTAATCCGTTTGATTGTTTGTGATTGTTGTTTCGTTTGTTGTCTTTTTTTGGATAGTAAATATTTACTAAATCATAATCAAGTAGGCGTATAGCATGGGCTTACATACAAGCAGGACGACAAGCCACGCCCATTATTAAATATACACATTAACAGATTTATATGTATTTACCTTGCTATGATTACGATTATGATAACGACGATATAAATGTTATTGCATATACACGTACATATACATATACATTTAAAGAAAAAAAACAAGAAATATTTACATATGAATATACATGTATGTACTTATATTTTTTCTGATTTTGATAAAGAAATTGCTTACTTACCGCTAACAAATAAAACCCCAAGAATTAAAATCATGGGAGAACACGAAATTTTCATCTCACTAGGAGAAACAGATACCCACACAATTACGAGGCTTCTTTTAAGTTGCTTGTTTCCGCTTAGCTGGGCAACTGTTGCCAACGTTCTTTTGTTTCTTTCACTTCCACTTTCACTTTTAGTTCGCTTGTCGCCGAGAGAGAGAGTGGCGCTACCCGCCCACCACCATTTCATCAGGGCCAGAAGCTAAATCAAATCAGCATTTCGCTTTCTAGTTCGACTCTCTTGCATGTGGCCTAAACTTAATGCAAACAAACTCTCTCTCTCTCTCTCTCACCCACCTGCACACCCCCTAACACACATTCACCTAACTAGGAAGAGATAAAAGAATATTTATAAATGTGCATTGTTGTTGTGGCGAGCAAAACGTGCTTAAATCAGATTTAAAGTAAACTCAAAATCGAATTAAATATGTACAAAGGTTAAACGATTAAACGCATGAACTTAAAACGCGACGTAAATAATGAACTAATGAACTAATGAAAATCGGAGGAGTTGTATTGTGTTGGTATTTCTTTATGTGTGTCTTCTAAGTGTTTAGCGAGGATTACCAATGCTCAAAGCAAGCACAGAACGTAAATATAAACGAGAAAATTTAACTAACACTCTTAAGTCGGTTTGACAACTAATGCAACTTTTAATATACACTAGTACAGCAACCAAACACACACGGCTATTCGGCCGTGTGTGTGCTTATTTGAGACTTATTTCGTTACCGCCATCTCTGTTTAATTAAACCGTTATGCTCCCTGCCCCCACTCGCCGTTTAAAACGACGAGTGCGGTCGAGCGAGACGGCAACTACAACACAGCACTATAACAACTAGAACAACACTTGACTAACGGACTGGTCATCAGCGAGAGCGACCACAAAGACACACAACAAGAACAATGTTAACAGCAAAACAAGAAAACAAAGGAACTTATTGAGTTTTATTTGCAAAAGAGTGATTTTTTGTAGTGGAAATATTTTATACACAAGTTACTGATGATTCGAATGGAGGACATAGCGAAATGTTAATTATTACGTATATGTATATATTTTTTAAGACAAATTGTTCAAATTTATTATACGAGTACTACCAAACAAAGCGAGTCAAAAACCAATGCCAAGCCAAATCGAAAAGCATGAAACTGGAAAATGATGTTGCAGACAACAATTTAGTATTAAAAACGAAGGGCGAAGAAGAGCAGCAGGGAAACAGGGGAAAAGAAGAGAAAACAAAACCTTTACGGACAAATTAAAACAAGTAAAACAAGTTAACATTACATTATATAAGTAGTTAGTAATTTAAAACTAAACCCAAAGAAAATAAGCTAAAAATCACGAAAAATGATACTTAAAGCAAACAAAAAAAGGTTTATGTATACAAAAAGATGTTTTTTTTTTAATATTATTAATGTTATTAAGTTAACGAATAACGAGCGTCACAAAGTCACACTGTCCAGACACCCACACCAACACGCACACAAACGTACACACAAATAACGAGTGCATTTTGTTAGGTGTTAAACATGAAAAACCAAAGGAGAATCCATAAAATCATAAACATGAAAAAATCGAAATCGAATCAATTTTTAAACGCAATGATGTCTCCTCGAACATAACGAATAACGAATTCTGAGCAAGGCGCCGGTTAATTTGAATCTAAACTGAATCTAGGCAAAATAAGCGAAATATATAAGAGCCCACACCTGTCCACACCTTAACGAAGGTGAAAGCGGGACGGCACGATGGCTGATCGTATTTCAAGTTACTAACACGACACAATTTTTTAAACACGCCAACGGATCGAGCAAAGAAGCGTTTCACGTACATAAACTAAGCAAATGGAATATGCGTACATTGTTGTGGTAGTTACAGATGGCGAGAAGCATACACGTAAATTAAAATATAAACAAACCAACTTGCAATAAATGTGTATACAAAAAGTGTCGAGTCTTTTATTTGCTGTAGCTTACATTATCACACGGACTAAATAACGCAATATTACTGAGTTAATGTTGTCCTTTATTTGAACACAGAAATTCACCTCTTACTGTTAAGCCACCAACTGTCAACGGACATACCACTGAGATTGTGTCAGACAGCACGTGTCCATGTTAATTGATTGTTTTCTGCAAAACAATCGGTTTGAGTCAAGACTACTATGGAGTCCAAACTTTGGAGAGTTTTTATTGGTTCAGGACCAAGCTAATGTATTACAGTAGCATTATTATATTTATTTATTTGAACACAGAAATTCACCTCTTACTGTTAAGCCGCCAACTGTCAATGGTCATACCACTGAGCTTGTGTCAGACAGCACTTGTCCATATTAATCGATTGTTTTCTGCCAAAAAAAATCGATTTTAGTCAAGACTACTTTGGACTCCAAACTTTGGAGACTTGTTATTGGTTCAGGACCATGCCAAAGTATTACTTACAGCTGATAGCATTTAACACTGTTAGGCAGTGCTGCCACTTAACAATTTATTTGCTAAATCTGTCAATTTAAAATAAATGTTAAACTTTCCGACAGAAATGTTAGAAAAATGATGATAACATTCTGTAAGCAAAGCGATGATTTAGCATTTTTGTAATGGAAACTTCGATTATACATATATGTGAAAAAAATCGATGTTATCCCGCCAAACATCGATAGATGTTGTTTAGAAAACATCAATGATATCGATGTTGGCATTGATGTTTTCCCACCCCTAGTGCGAACGCGACTTACAACTTAATTTTAACATTTTAAGTAAGTTAAGCGAATTAAGACATGCCAGACGCCGAACAATTGCCCGAGGGCTGGGAGAAGCGCACCAGTCGCTCCACAGGTATGAAATGTAGATGTCCCCTATAAAGTGGCAGAATAACCACAATCCCACTCGCAAACAATCCGTAACCGGCATGCTAAAATAAATATGTACAAATGTATGTATGATTGACAGGACTGAGCTATTACCTCAACGTGCACACCAAGGAATCGCAATGGGATCAGCCCACGGAGCCGGCTAAGAAAACCGGTGGAGGTGGAGGAGGAGGATCCGGTGCCGCGTCCGTCGCCGGAGGAGACGGACCCGACGAGGTGCAGTGCCTGCATCTGCTCGTGAAGCACAAGGGCAGCCGGCGTCCCAGTTCGTGGCGCGAGGTGAACATCACCCGCACCAAGGAGGAGGCCCAGCTGCTCCTGGAGGTCTATCGCAACAAGATCGTCCAGCAGGAGGCCACCTTCGATGAGCTGGCCCGCTCTTATTCCGACTGCAGTTCCGCCAAGAGGGGCGGTGACCTGGGAAAGTTCGGCAGAGGTACGGAAAAAGGCACATCCTCTCGAGGAACAGAATCCTTAGCTAAGCTTCTTGCTGCTCCAAAAGATCTGAGAACATGGTTCCCTGCGATCTGTGTCGATTAAGGGTTACATTTATTAGGAAAAGACGAATATTTGTGATTTTTTTAAAGCCACTCTTAAAATCTAAAGGTATATTGAAGTATGACAAGATACATTTTCAAGAAGAAAGATAAAATAATGCGGCTATGGCAACAATTGCTCTAGAGCATCTTAACTAGTGACTGGATCATCAAAAAAAAAATCGTAGTTTTTAATTTTAAAGAAAATGTTGTTTAGAAGTTTGACAAACTCAACGACGTTAGCTCGTAGCCGATGCAGAAATAGTGTTTCAAAGTTTAAAACGATCGATGCATTAATTTTGACCGTGAGTTTTGAGCTGCCGGTCAAGGAAACGATAATGACAGGCACTTTCCCTTCCATAAAAAACACCTTTTGCAGCATAATCATAACCTTAAATGCGGTTTATTATCGTGTGACGGTTTAGGACAACGGAAATCTTCGAAACTAGGTTGTTTCTTTCTTCATTACTGGGTTACGATTAAAAAATGTACACAAGGCAAAGTCGCGTCCATCTCGTTATTAATTCATATTTAAATCATTTAATTTCCTCCTTTATCACAGGTCAGATGCAGCCGTCATTTGAGGAGGCTGCCTTCAAATTAAACGTGGGCCAGCTTTCCGGAATTGTCGACAGTGACTCCGGCTTACACATCATTCTGCGCAAGTCTTAAAGACTCCTCGACCACCGAACCCCACAGCTCACGTCACTTCTCACATGAATAAAACGGAAATTACAGCCATTTCAATATAGAATTATGTATTTTAAAATGTTAGGTTTTTTGTCTATAAGCTAAAAAGGGTTTTCATTTGCCAACGCCCAATTTGGCGGCCAGCAGCTTGGCCCCGGGCGTCTTCTGGCCCCCGAGCGCCTGGTTGAGGGTCTTCTCCTCCGCGATGGCCTTCTTGCAGTCGTCCAGCAGCGAGGTACTCTCCTCCACCAGCTTCAACAGGACGAAACAGGCCCGGTTGACGCCCAGCCAGACTTTGAGCTGGAAAGGAATGGAATCGAAGAAACAATTAGGACCAGGATGCATCGGTTTACTTCGCGAACAGAAGCTTAGGAACTACTTATTTATGAAATTATTAATATCGACAAATTTTAAATAAGAAAAAATACTCAATTTATTAAAAGAAAAAGCCATAATTAAGCACTGATCAATTCAGCATATATACGATGCGTTCCTAATAATAGTAATGTTACCATGTCTTCAAAAAAATAAACATTATTACTTCAACGCAATCCCTGGAAGATTATTCTTATTTGTTAAAATAAACTTCATTTGCCTGCGCACATGAGGAACATTTTATTTTGCTTTGTTTCGTTTCGTTTCTTTGTAATACTTCGACTCTTCACTGACATTCTATAAAGGTGTGCGTGTATTTTTAATTGTTTTGGCAAATGCTTTTTTGAGCACTTTGAACACCTGACTTAAAAGCTTAAGAGCTGGATATCTACTCACCACGTCGGTGGACAAGTTTTGCAGGAGTTGTTTGCTGAAAGGAGTGCCCTCACGTTTGCCATCGTTCTTGAGGATCTTTTTCAATACAATGTGCATGCCGGCCTCCTCGATTCCGCTGACCAGTGGAGCTGCCGCCGGCTCCTCCTTCGCCTTTGCCTTTTTGGGCTCCTTTTTGGCTTTCTTCAGCTTGGGCTCTCCATCATCCTTGTCTTCGGCCTCCTTCTCGCCATCTTCTTCCGCATCCGCTTCCTCATCTGCATCTGCATCTTCATCGTCATCCTCTTCACCGCTGCTGCTGTCGGCGTTTAGCAGTTTCTTGCGCTGTTTGGTGGCTTCGGCTATGATGGCCTCCACATCATTGTGGGGCTTCTTCTTATCCTGTGGCAGCGGACCGGCGGCATCGGCTGAAATGCGCCACTCCGGCTGGGCGATCACTGCGGCTAGGGCTGTAACCGCCTTCTCATAGGATTCGCCTTGAACTGAAAGGCAGAAAAAATACAGAGGCTTAGCATATAATACAAATATATGCAAGGATTTTCCATTGGGAAAAAACATAAGGCTTTTGAATTGTTTGTATATTTCTAAAAAGGGCTAATACTGAAAAGATACTAAAACCCACAATAAATAAACACTTTAAGGTAATGTTTAACATTTTAAATGACACACATCTATAATTATAAATATAATATTTGATTTGTGCACTCACTGTGATTTAGAATGTCGGCGGTAACCAGGCCGATGTGGCTGTTGGACAGCCAGAAGGCTGCCTCCTCGGCGATAGCCTGTGCGATTGGCGCCTCGATCTGCTCGAAGATCTCCTTGCGGCGCAGTTCCTTCTCCTTTTTGCCAAACGCCAGGCCCTCGTCCACCACGCGAATGAACTCCGGATGGAAGCAGGTGGTGTCGCCGGGCGCCACCAGCCATTGGACCACCCGGCGGCCGTACTGGTTGCCCACCAGTGTCTTCAGATCCCCGTGCAGGTGGTCGTAGATGGCCTTCTTGGTGGCCTTCGTGTCGTCCAAGGCGTTCAGCAGCGAGATGAGGAACACGTGGCCATGCTCGTGGGTGGCGATCTTGAGCAGATGCTCCTTGATGTTCTTAATGATGGCCTGCAGATGGTGTTAAATATCTATTCATTAGACTCCCTTACATAATATATAACAATAATAATGAATTTATACCATAGAATTATTAGTATAGTAATTTTAAGTACAGCGATTAAATTTTAATATACTCTAGTCAGTTTTGTACAACAATTTAAGAAAATAACCATAAATTGTAGTCTTTGTTTTGGAATAAAAATGTTCTCGATGTCTGACCTTTTTTTTCAAGTACAAATTCATAAACCTGGTTTTAATCAATCTTTTTTTAGTTTAGTGTTTACGAAAATTAAAAACTATTTATTATGGTTGCTTCCATAAGCTCAACAAACATTATTTACTCACTCTGCGGTTCTTGGGCGTGGACTTGTAGAAGCAAATGACACCAGCCTCGCTGCCCTCCTTGGTGGACAGCATGTGAGGCACTAGGGCTGCAAATGCAGTGACCGTCTCCTCCAGCTTCTCCTCATCCTCGTCGCAGGCGCGCAGGTATTCCAGCATCACGGCATGCACCAGTGAGCTGTCGACCAGCTGTTTGTTGGCCACATGGTCCAGATTCGCTTTCACCGAGCCCAAAATGGATGCCTTCATGTTCGTGGCCTCCTTGTAGGTGTCGCTCAGCGACTTGACATTCGCGTCCTTGACCTTGCGGTACAGATCGCCATAGAACTCCTGGCGCATGTGGATGCGCTGCTGGGGCGTGGCACTCTGGTACATCGTGTCCAGCAATCCGCTGGCAATGCTGTGTCCGGCCAAGCGGACAATATGTCCGTACAGGCTGTCCACCAGCTTCGATTTGGTGGCCGGTGACCCGTATTTCAGCATTCGCTGGACGCAAAACTGGGCGTACTTCGACTGGCACATCTCCACGATGAAGGGCAGCAGCTGCTCGGAGATCTCGGCCCGCAGCGCCGGTGAGGCGTACTTCAGCATGCACTGGAGTACCCGAGCGGTGTCGTGGGCCTTCACCACCTTCGAGATGGTGTCGCCCACGTTGAGCACCTTGTATATCTGCTCCACCAGCTTGTCCTTGTTCCCAGTTCGGCGGCTGCAACACAAACATGAAATTGAGTTATAATTGTGGAAAAACATAGCAGTATTGCAACGAGGTTATTATAACAAAGTACCCTTTGTGTATTTGTGGCAAACTAATCTCGCATTTTTAAATCCCTTCTATTTGTAGCAGGAAGTCTATAAGTGGAAACTTTATCGTACAGCTCATGTCATTAATAAAGATACATGACTTTATGAAGCTGTTTAAATAAAAAAGTTAAAAAATAAATAAGTATAAATGCAAATAAAGGAAGAAGTCTATAAGTGGGGACTATATCATACACCTCATCAATCAGTTAAAAACACATTTATAAAGATAATTTTAACAACATTTTATAGCTGTTGAAATATTGGAATATTGTAATACCCAAATGGCATAATTTCGTTGCTTCTAAGTATATCGTATAATGCATATACGTTGGGAACTATATTTACTCCAAATTAAAGAACTATTTTCTATAGTTGTCTTAAATATTATATTACCAAAATGGCATAATTGAGTTGTTTTTGGAAATAACTAAATGCATACACATAGAGACTTTGTTGGCTTATGCGATGTCTAGGGGTTGAATTGCGTTTAAGATGAATGGGACAACTACATCCCATCATTGATAACCCTCGTGGTTTTAAGGGAACCCTACCATCGCAGCTTCTCGTAGATTTGCTTGGCCTCCTTGGTGATTTCGTAGGTGTCCTTGGAGCTCTTGCGCTTCAGCTTAAGGTCCTTCTTCTCCTGCTTGAACTTGTTCCAGTCCTGTTTCTCGCCCTCCGCCGGCGCCTGTGTCTGTTGTGCCTGTGGTTTACCCCGGAACTTGTTGCCGCCGGCTGCTCCTGCTCCACCGCCTTTGTCGAACTTCTTGAAGCCACCGGCTGCTCCTCCGGATTTGTCAAACTTCTTAAAGTTGCCAGTTCCAGACTTATTGTCAAACCTCCTGGTACCACCGGCGCCGAGTTTGCCTGGTCCTCCGGCTGATTTGTCGAATTTCCTGGCGCCTCCTGCTCCGCCAGGTTTGAATTTCTGACCAGGCGATTTGTTGGCCTTGAAGGCCGGCGGCGGTTTGTCCACCGTTTTTGCCACCTTGCTAGGTCCTTTCGGATCTGAACTGACCATGTTTACTTAATTAATTTCGGCACTAAAACTAACTATTAGCAAATGTTTTGCTAATTTTTGTTAAATGCCCTACACGTGCTGTTAATTCAGAGTGACCAGAGCGTTCAAAAATGCTGCGGAGTAAGTGAAAATACTTAAAGTTGTATTATCTCGAGTAGAGTGAACACAAGAAAAATAAATATATTAAATAATAAATTTTTGCCTACTACGTATTCGTGAATTTAATAAATTTTTTTTAAAAGGTGTTAGCCATATTTAAGTAAATTTTTTTTATAATAACACATATCCCTATTTAATTTTGTTGTTTATACAAGGTAATAGTTGGATTATTTTTAAGTTAATAACAGCATCCATTCCTTTGATAACAACATTAGGAATTTTTACCTACTACATGTTCGTTAAATTATTAAATTGTTTTTACTAGGCATTTAAAAATTCATACCGTTTCTGCTGATAAAACTTTTATTTGAAATTTGTAATTGGACCGTAATTTATATAAATTGTTGAATAGTAGTAGTTTGTCTAGGTGATGTTGCCAGACTTACTTATTCTTAGTCAGGAATCCCAACTTCATGGATCCTGAAAATTTGAAATTGATGGGGCGTTGGGGCTTTTGGGAAGATTTCCCTTAAAAAATACTCAAAAAATGATTATTAAATTGTAATTATCTATTTTTCAATTATATTAATAATTATTTTTTACGGTCCCTGTTTCAAACTTATTAATAGCATGACGCAGCCGATGTATAAACATAACAGGGTTATTATTTGGCATAATCTCTTAGCCAAGTGTTCACAGTGGGTCAATATCAAATTATCATACTGACCCTCCAACCATCTCTAATTTCTGGTTTTACTATTACTGTCGATTGGCATCTCTTGGTATCGGTCGGCTTGTTGTTTTCAACAATTTATGGTATTTTGAAGCCCAAACTTTGTACAAAGTATTTTTTTTTCTGGTATAGATATTACCGCCAAGATTCAAACGTGTAATATCGTAAGCAACTCTTGGGTTTGATTTCTACTTTTCCAATCGCTTCAAAGAAATAATCAAAACATAAGCAAGTCTCATAAGAAATGTCCTTATTTATTGATCTGTTCCGACTATTTTGTATTTAAATAAATATAAGAAAAAAGTTTTTTTTAAATAGACGAACTTAAAAGGTATTTTTTAAACTGAGCTGAAACTGTGTGTATTTTTAATCGTTATCAGCGCGGTCACACTGCGAGTGTGTACAGTACAGTCGACACATCAACGCCTCCCGATAGCGAATACCTATCGATAGGTCGATAGGCAACTAAAAAAAACTTTTTTCTCGTTGTTGTACAGTCGGAGATTTGTTTTTGCGGCAAAGCAAAGGAAAAGCAAAAGCAAGAGAAATTTTTGGAGCAAATCCAATCCGAGCCGGCGCAAACGTGGTCAACATGGTGAAGCCGGGCAAGAAGAAGGTGGTCGAGGAGCTGAGCCGCAAGAAGCTGGAACCGGAGGGCAAGCGCAAGAACGGTGCCGCCGTCGCCGCCCCAGATTGCGATATTGAGGAGAACAGGGACAGGGACACCAACTCCTCCGTCTCCCACTCGACGGCCGGCTCCTTGAAGAAGCCGCTGAACAAGCGGAAGGTAACCCAGACCCAGAGCCGGTCGGGAGTGCGCTCGGGATCCGACGACAGCGATGACCTGCCCCTCAACGGCAGCAAGGAGTCCTCCGCCGGTGGGGGAGGAGCAGGAGGAGGAGGAGCATTCGCACCCAAGAAGCGCAAGCTGGGCAAGGCCAAAGCCACCAGCAGCCACACATCTGCCGCCAAAAATGGCAAGAAGGCTGCTCCAGAAGACCTAGTGGACGACGATGAACTGGTCAACAGTGATGCTCAAACGGGAGCCGATGTGGAATACGAGGTGAGACCTGATCGTTCAATTATTGATTAACAAGTTTACAATATTTAAACCCGTAGTCTTTTCATTATGGTGGTTACAATAACTTTTTAATTAACTAAAAAATACAGACGACCAAGAATTAGTTTCATGGACAAGTACGCGTCGCAATTTCGGGGCCGGTCAAATTTTAAAAGGAATTTATGTCCAATTGGGTCTCTATCAAAACAGGATGCTTACGCAGTTACAATTTACAATTAAAATTTAAATTTACCAAGTTGGAATACTTTGAAGAAATATGGGATACTGTTTAAATGAAATCCAAGTCCAATTGGTCAAACCAAAAAACTGTATTTAAATGTACGTATTGATTAAAATTTTCTCAAATCATTTCAATTTTTACAGCGAAAGGTACGTTTGAAACAAAAAACCCTAGAATTATTAGGACAGAAACATTTTTCAAAACGCGAACTAGAAAGGGAAACCGATCTTTATTTTGAGACAGAAGATATTTTGATGTATTAAACAGTACAGTTGCTGTGCGAAATGCATGTCCTAATTGGATAATAACTCTTAAAAAATAGTACCATTTTTAAAATTAAAATTGCCTAAAGTTCACAAACGGATTTACAAATTGATTTTAGAAACCCGCCGTAAAAACCAAGCTAACTTTAATTGTTAATTTATAATTCCAATTTAACTTGCTTTATACTTTGATAACATTGCAACAAGAAGTTCTGATCAGACGATCTAATATGTTTAATATAATATTTTTCAGGTAGAAGCGATCATGGGCCACAAGATTATGCGCGGCGCATCGTATTTCCTGGTGCGCTGGAAGGGATACAATAAGGATTCGGACACATGGGAGCCAGAAATTGATCTGAACTGCGACGACTTGATCGCACAGTTCCTGGCTAAGGTAATGGCCAAAAACACTACCTACCTAAACTATCTTATATTGTCATATAGATATATGTAAATGACTTTCTACATATATTATTTAATTTCTAAGAATATGATGAATCTGAATAAGAGATTATGTTATATAAATGTTTTATTTATCCAACCTTTTTTTTACTCCGTTATTAAGAACATCAAGACGGAGGCAAAATCCAAAGCAAAGCCCCAGAAGGTCGTAAAGAAAGCCGTGTCCGGAGTCGGCGGACGTGGACGACCGAAGAAGGCCGCTACCCCAGCAGATCCTGAAAAGCAGTGGGTTGTTGAGCGGATCGTTGACTTTGCGGACGACCTGTACCGGATCAGGTGGAAGGGATTCGGTGCCAAGGACGACACCTGGGAGCCGGAGTCGAATCTGTCCTGCGAGGGGCTGATTGAGAAATTCAAGCGCGACCTGGTCACGCAGAAGAACGTGGACACCAAGGAACTGCGCGAATCGCCCAAGAAGACCAAGCGACTCGTCAACGAATACTACCCCAGGACGAATATACACAACCGCATTGAGCGCTCCTCAAAGCGCGCTGCCGCCAAGAACCGGTGCGTTTAATAACTCTATATACAAAATAAGGTTAGAATAATGACACAACTATAAAGTAATTTGTAGTAGTACTTTTACCCTAGCTACCTTATGTTTCTAAATCTATGCTTTTATTTTTTGATATTTTGATTGAAGTACATTTTGCTTGTAGTATTATTTGTTTTGTTTCATTATTTAGTTTGTAACCCTTATTTGTTTATTTGCTGATTAATGTCACTCTTTATTTGCAGCGTATTTTATGGCGAGGACTGAGGAAAGGCGGCGGCCCCGCCCCCTCGAAGTGGTTTTCGGTGGAGGCGGCATCCTTAGAGTTTTAATGCATATAACATTCATTTTTTTTCGGCGTTGGTTTTTGAGGACACACGCGGGCGGTGTACATGGTGTGTTTGCTGTGCAAAATTGAGGGGCAAGGAGCCAAGGAGCAGATGTAACACGGATCGAAATTCATCGCCCCCAAAATTCTGAAGCGAGAAAAGGCAGACACAATCCAATCCAAGCAAATACAACACATTACAAAATAAAGATTTATCTGTAACCTAAGCGAGGTCAGGCGCTTGAATGCAGCACGGTATATATGGTGAAGTATTATACCTGGTTATGCTGCATTCAACCAGCGTAGGATATAAGCAATGTAAACCTAGACCTAATCACACAACTTGTACCCTTAAGGTGGAATTTAATCATTTTAAGCCTAAGTTTTGTCTTTTGCAAGAAATTGTCACAGCTGCAAATAGCCTCTTAACTATTCTTCCCAATCGTCTCCATTCAAGTTATGTACGCCATAGTGTACACGAAGTAATTACATAATAATTAGCAAGGAGGCGCAGCAGTCTCTAGTATGATGAATAAATGTAAAACAATGTCAAATTCACGATCTGCTGTTTTTAAATATTATTAATCTGTTGAAGTTTTAATTTACGTTAGCAATTCATACGAGTATGAGATCACATTAATAAGCCTTTTATAGAATTTATATGTAAGCTTTATTTTGAAGTTATCCGCTTATCAGTTATAGAATTTTAAACCGAAAAAACTAACTATTTCAAACGTTGCTTGGTTTTAAACCGAAAAAACCAACATTCTAAACTAAACTAAACCCGAAAAAAGTCAAAAATCACTTATCAATGACCTCTAAGAGTTGCTTAACATTTATTTAACTTTCGTTCGACAATCAGTGATAGGTGCTGCTCCATTGCCAATCCTCTAGAGGCCTGCCTGCAGTCCGAAACCAGGTCCCTTGGGCTCCTCGCTAAGGGAAGTGGGCTCGCCCTTCGGCTCGCTGGCAAAGCGACCGTTACGGGGGCCAGGGGGCGAAATTTTGTCCGCCTTCAGGTCGTTCAGAATGTCCTGCATGTCCTTGGCCGTCAGATCCTCCTGCAATGCGAGGAAAGCTTAAGCAAAGTGCATATACATATTTGGCATTATTTTTGTGCTATCTATCGGGTTATTACTTCCCATAGTAAATGTAGCATTTACTGTTTGAATTCATCTGTGTGTTTGAATAAATCACCTCATTGCTGTATGAACTATTTAAAATAAGTAACTGAAAGTGTTATCCATCTCTAAGCTCGTGTCTCAAATTACAACCAAAGATATTTAAAAAGGTGATGAAGAAAAAGCATATTAAAACGTGTTGTTCAAGTTACAAAAATGGACTTATTATAAGCCTTGGTTCAGAATTAAAAATTATACTCTTAGTGTACAGAAGTTAAAACTGCAAATGCAACTCGAATTTCTATTACAAAAAACAAATCTCTTAAGCTGCTAGAATTTCTTTAGCTCTTTGCCATTAATATGTTTTTTTTTTTTGTGGCTAAATTTTGACAGATATAAATTAAATATGAATTATTTTGGTTAAAAGCTTGCTATCCACTACAACCACAAGCAAAATTCGCAGTTTGTCCTGTTTCTAACCTATAAAAGATGTTTTTTGAATGTGGATGTCAGTGAACCTGCTTACATAGAAGACATCGTTGATCGCCACCATGGACGCATTTTTGTGTCTAACAAGACTTAGGTAGGGTAATTTCAGACAATTAGGACATAAGGTGAAAAGAGCTGGCTGTGCACAACATATATCATTTAACTTCGTAATTAGCTTTGTTCCTAGCCCTCAAGAGATGACTTTCATTGAACCTGGAATCTCTGGCTCAGATTACTTACATAGTAGTCATCGTTGATCGCCACCATGGGCGCATTGACGCAGGCGCCCAAGCACTCCACCTCCGAGATGGTAAACTTCCTGTCCTTGGTGGTGTCGCCGACGCCGATGCACAGCTGCTTCTTGCAGGTCTCCAGGATGTCGTCGGAGCCGCGCAGCCAGCAGGGGGTGGTGGTGCACACCTGGATGTGATACTTGCCGGTGGGCTTGCGCAAGAACATCGTGTAGAAGGTGGCCACCTCGTAGACGCGCATGTTGGGCAGTTGGAGGATGTCGGCCACCTTGTGCATGGCGGAGATGGGCAGCCAGCCGTATTGGCGCTGGGCCAGATCGAGCAGCGGGATCATGGCGCCGCGCTTGTGTCCCTCCGGATAGATGCTGAGTATGGCCTCCACGCGCTTCTTGTTCTCCGCCGTAAACTCGAACGGGATGTTGGGATTATCCTCCGGCGTGTCGCGATGCACGAAGAGGTTGTCGCTGGCCCGGGCACTGCTCGTGGCAATTGCCCGGATGTTGGCACGCTGCAACAGCACAAAAAAGTTATTAACATTTCCTTACTGTTATTGTTTTCCTGGGCACAAATTATATAACCAAGGGGACAGGTAGCACGGTGAATTCCTGACCATTTATGCTCATTTTTGGACGATTCACTACTCACCACAGCGGCCAGCGTCTTGGAGGCACAATTCGTCAGCATTCTGGAGTTTCCAAAATAAAGAAAAGGCTGCAAAATTTGCTCTTATGTCAAATTCGTAGCCTGCTGTGAGTTTTTTTTTTACAAGCACCACTCACAGCTGATTTTCGGGCGCGCGTTTTTCAGCACTGGCTAGAGATGGGCAATCCAACTAAATACTGTGTTGGGAATACAAGGTAAATTATACAAAAAGTAAGTCTACCTACTTTTTATTTTATTTTATAAAAATTGTGATAAAAAATTAATTGGGTATTCCCCAAATTTGTCAGCATTCTTTAGAAATTTCAGAAAATCGATTTAGGTATTCCCTAAACGACTAAATCTCTGAGTTTCGATCAGGTGTTTGACAGCTGTTCATCAAAATGAATCTGTCTGATGTTTCAGCAGCTCAGCAATCCAGAGGCTGGTAAAATTTTTTTTTAATTTCTAAAAGGTCAGGGTCCAATTCTTTTCTACTAAAACTGAGAAGGCAACACTGGTCCCAACATGGATGTAATCACCGAATATATGCTAATAATGAAGCTTATAATAAAAATATCAAATTAGGGAATAAAGTTTTACATGTTTCTTAATAGCGTTTCAGCGTTTCAGGGATTCAGTCGTTAACGGAATACCCAAAATATTTTGATTATATTAGCGATTACTAAAATTGCCGATATATATCACCGTTACAATTTCGGCGCCTTCCAACACTGTGCGCTAAGTCGATTGTCTTGCAAATCGAAAGACGCGCAAACTTGAAAAGTCACAAGAAGCCACGGAAAAATGGATAAATATCCGCAGGTCAGAGAATTTCTCGGCCTAGAGGGCAAAACTGCTGAAATAATGTTGCAGTTCGAAGAGGAAATAAAAAAAAAAACAAAAGTGCTCGCCGAAGAGGAGGGTGAGTGGGGTGAAAAGCAATAATCTTTGAGAGTTGCCAACATGTTTCTACTTGACGCCAGGGATTCGCTCGAAATTGGTGGAGCTAACGCTGGACTTAAGTCTGGCCAAGCAAGGAGCCGAAAATGTGAAGGAGATAAACGAGGTCATGGCGGAGGCGGAGACCATGACATATGACTGCCTGTTCCAGGTCATGCAAATCGAGCGTCTGTTGGAGCAGGTCGGCCTGCAGGACATCCTGCGCTACACCGTCCAGCGCGAGGAGCAGCAGGTCAAGCGCCAAATGGCACTCGAGGAGGAGCGGGAAGCCGAGGAGGAGCAGCAGCTGGCCATCCTCAGATCACGCGATGTCGGTAAGATCCTCTAAAAAATATTTTTTACTTATCTAGGGGTTAAAAGCTTGTACATTATGCTATTTTTTTCCCCAACTGTAAATTATACAGCTGCAGTTAAAATACTATCACCAATATGTTAACTGGCCATCTTTAGGAATTTATTCATATACTAACAGTTGAATTTTTGTATGAAATCTATGAAATTATTCTTATACATACCTTCACTTTAATTATTGTTTTTTTGTTTTTATTTTATATTGCTGATATAAAACCTAATGAAGCTCTAACTTGTATATTCTATTGTACGAATTAACTAACGGCGCAAAATATTAGGGACTCAACATATGAAAAAACAATTTGTTGATTCTTTTAATGATTTTCAAATATATATTAAAATAATTTTAGTTCAAGAATTTCGCGTGGTGCATGAGGTTCTAAAAGAGGAGGAGAAGATGCTTACCACATTAACACATGAATTAGACCAGTTAAACAGCCGGTATGAAATTACAATAAACGATTTAACAGATAAACGTAACAAGAAGATAGTCGCCATAATACAGACCAGCAAGCAAATAGCCGAAATGCAAGCACAGGTTAGTACTTACCAAATATCCAATAAAATTAAATTTGAATTTTTTCCGGGTTCCAGTTAAAATCAAAAGATATCAGTACAATGTCTGCTCAAAGCCACATCAAAGAAAAGAATGTCGTTACCGAGAATGAAACCAACATCGTTAGCCCACAGGAAGCAGAAAAGCCATCAAACAGCAGCAGTTTATCATTTCAGTCGGCTAATGATTTTCTGAAAATGTTTCTGGAGGATGATAAACAGCAGGTGGGCATCTTGCACTCAATTCTGGCTAATCGCAATAAGGAGAAGACTGTTATCTCTTTTAACTCGCCACCAAAACATGTGCAATTTGCCCCTGATCCGCTACTAACCGAAATTGTGGAGTTTGAAAAAGAAGAGGAGGTTTCGGGATCAGATGAAGAACTAGTGGAGGCATCTGATATGGAATTTGAAGAAGAATCAGAAGAGGAAATGGAGTTATCAGACGCAGAACTCGATGAAGAGCAACCAGAAGACGGATTGGAAAAGAAAGAGGAGGAATCAGACGAAGAACTTGATGAGGAGCAACCAGAAGACGGTTCACCGGAGGAATCCGACGATGAATTTAATGAGGAGCAGCCAGCCGACGGTTCAGAGAATATATGGATGGAATCAGACGAAGAAATTGAAGACGGGCAACTAAAAGAGGGTTCAGAGAACGAAATGGAGGAATCAGACGATGAATTGAATGAGGAGCAGCCAGCAGATGGTTCAGAAAACGAAATGCTGGAACTGGAGGAATCAGACGAAAGCCTTGATGAGGTGCAGCCAGAAGACGGTTCAGAGAACGAAATAGAGGAATCAGATGAAGAATTTAATCGGCACAACCCAGAAAACGAGGCACAGAACGAAAAGGAAGGATCACAGAAAGAATTTGATGAGAAACCAAAGAAGTCGGAACCAAAAGTGCAGAAATCAGAAAAATTCAAGTTGGATATAGACGATTCTGAACAGAAATCACAATCCGAAAATATGGAATTTGAATCGGACGATGACGCATCGGTCGAACAGGAATCAAGCGAGGAGGAGGTTACTGATAAGGGGGCCAAAAAACTGTTTGGGAAGGCAAAGCCCAAGCAAGCAGAGCAGAAAATTAATAAAACGATGACGCAGCAGAAGGCCTCTTTCAAAGGCAATTTCAAAAGGTCCTTCATTCCCGAAACCCCGCAAATACGAAGTGTAAATCTCACTTCAACACCCAAAAATACTAAAAATTCTAAGGCCAGCAAAAACTTGCCCAGCACTTCCTCCGGCTCTCGCAACCGCTATTCGTCTAGTCAGTTGTCAAGCAATGCCGCAGATGTCGTGAAGACTGAACTACTGCCGAAGAGGCTTAAATTGGACGATGAGGAGTTCCCCATGGCCCAACCTCATCCATCCAATGACGACCACTCTTTTCAATTCGCCTCTCCCAATAGTGATATCAACGATGATTTCCTGCTAAACTTTAGCGATGATATGGCTTCGTTTCCTGGGGCCTCTTCCTCTTACTTTTTGTAATAAGTCAATACTTGGATAAACAAATTAGTTAAAAGCGGGAGCTATATAAACTCTGTTAAAATATCAATATTACCAAAAATCATTTAAAGTAAACTTTTTTATAACTTATATATATATATATTTACTTAGATTTATTAATTAATAATAAATCATTAAAAAAATTTGTTTAAATTTAATAATGAAATAATTAATTAGAACAGTAAACAGTGAAATAAAATAAAATATTTTCTTTTTATTTAAAATCGTTATTTAACGCTACAATCTAAGTTAAATATTAAATAAGAAAGTATATATGAGCAACAGTTGATCAAAATTAATATAAACTTAGATTTACTTGGAAAAAATATTACGATTTAATAATGAAGTAATTCATTTGAACAGCTTAATAAAATTTGTAATGATTAATAATAGTTTATTTTTAAAAAATTAAAACATTTAATGGTCCAATCTGACTTTAATATTAAATAGGAAACTACATATACGTAAAAATTAACGATTTAAGGAAAATAAAAGAACAGTTGATCCAAATTGAAAACTTAGTTTTACTTGCAGACAGATAAAACATAGGTATGCGAAAAATATTTAGAAAAAAAAATTGATTAAAATACAAGAATGCTTGATTATCTTGTATTTTAATGAATTTTGTTGTCTACTTTTTTGAGAAAATCGCTTAACAGTTTACCATCTGGTTCAAAACATTCATTTCATTTTCATTCCCTGGAACTTGCGGTCAGAACCGCAGTTAACATGACGATGTTCTGTTCACAGAACAACATTATTTTGGCGCCAATTTTAAATTCAATTAGCACTTCTGAGCTAGTTTTCCTGTACACTTAATAAAAATGTAATGAAAAATGAGCAAATCGTTTTACGGTTTTCGGAAAATTTGGATAACTAATTTGACGGAAAAATTAAAAGTTTGGTAAAAAAAATCTGTTTTATTTATATAATTTCAAATACAAATCTATACCTTTTTTTAAGCAATTTTTTTAAAATTTCTGTTTTAATAAAAAAAACTCAACAATCTGAGAGGTTTAAGTAAAATTTTCAGCTTTCAAGACAATTAGTTATTTTTTGGATGACGGAAAACAAAACTTCGATAAACGGTTAACAGCGCAGTGTTCACCACGGTGCGCTTAACAGCACGCACTGCCGGTCGTGGTGAGTTTAGCGTCACGAGTGTGGTGGATACCGCAGCTGCTGGAAATTGCCGCAAAAAGAGAAGAAATAACAAAACAACAAAAAGAAACAGCGATTTTATAGGCCTTTAATTATCTGATAAACTCCCCGATGGCCGATAAGCACCGGCTAAAGAACCCATAAGATCCAGATAACCATTGGGCCCCAGAGTCGATTGGAATCGCCACGAATAACCATCCGGAACTCACTTGAGCGTCGAAAAGTCTACAAAATTCCATCATAATGCCCGAATACGTACCGGCACGGGGCTTCAAGGAGATGGAGAATTTCCTCAAGCTCTACGACAACCAGCGGAATCCCATATACATCTACTTCTACGGCGAGAAGGATAAACAGGGACGCAGCTGGTGTCCCGACTGCGTGGCGGGTAGGTGACGAATTCTCCTCACGGTCCACAGCCGTGTTTTGGTACTAGTGCAGATTGGTATTCATTTTTAAGATTATTTTTTTTGATTCTAGGGTTATATATTCTAGGGTGAGGCAATAGTTTTAGAAAACGATAAAAGCCGCGTTAAAAAAATATAAATTGAAAAATCTGAGGATACTATACGACACTAACTTTGAAAAATACGAATTATCATGATTTTTATTATCAAATTATAGCTAAAACCTCTTACCTAAACATATTCATACATCTTTTGATAAAACCTTATAAAGCAAACCCCTAAAAAATAATTAAAATTGTTCTGGAAATATATTTTATAATCAAACTTAAGCTTATACCTTAAAATATAAATTGTATGGTCCTATAAGTAATACCGGTTTCTACTCTATTTTTCAGCGGAAGATACGATAATGGCTGCCTTTCGGTCGCACGCACCGGCGGACTGTATAATCCTGGTGGTGGACGTGGGCAACCGGGAATTCTGGATGAGCAAGGACAATGAGTTCCGTAAGCCCCCCTTCTCGGTGGAGGGAATCCCAGCCCTGCTCCACTGGAAGGGCGTGGCGAGACTCGATGGCGATCAGTTGCTGAAGAAGACTCTTCTGGAGCTTTTCTTCGAGGAGACCAATCCGCGCAAGAGCAATGCTGGCACTCAATAAAATGCGATTTGAGTCGAAACGAGAGAGAGAGAGAGAGAGTGGTTTATGTATTGCGTTCCACTCGGAGAAAAGTTTGAGTGGAATTGGGGGAGGGGATTGGGGGAATTTGTGAAAATGAGGGAAAAAGTGGAGAGAGGGGGCACTGAAAACGAGTCGAAATATTCTGGTTCGCAGCACATCGCATCGCTCGACATTTTCTCGTTTATTTGCACGCATTTCGTCGACCAGGACGAATCGTTTGGCAAAACGCGGCTGAAATTCAAAGTCGTGGCAGTAACGGTAAAAAAGCGGCACACGGGCTAACGGTAAACACGCGCGGTAACGCGCCATCTCGCTCGCACGCAAATGCCGCTATTTTACCTTTTTTTTTAAAGTGTTCTTAACAAAAGCAAATATGAAATAAAACCTGAAACAATTCGTATAATATTGGTAAAGAAAAAAATTAAAATATATATACAAAATAAATTTAGCACACGCCCGCACAATTTAGAATCGGTTGCCTCTCGTCCACAGTATAAAAGTAATATAAAAAATAATTAATAGTTAAACGATACATTTTTTTAATTAAGCCAAAAAAACAACAACAACAACCGCAAAGAACAACAAGTTATTTTTACCAAAAAAATAACCGGCATTTTCTAAACCCTGTTGATTCTGCTACTTTAATAAATGGCTTAGTAGCAACAATAAATATAAATAAAAAAGGAAATGTTAAGAAAACAATGAAAAAAAATTAAATTTTCTCTCCCTAACTAAAAACCCTGTTGCTTAATTACAAAAAAAAAAATTGGAAAGAAAACCATTAAATAAAGGAAAGTACAAATCAGATTCACAATAACAAAAATGTATACTATATTCTATTCTCGATTGAAAGTATATTAAAACACTTAGGCCTTATAAAAACTATTAAAATTAAAAATATATTAAATTGAAAGAAGATGCAAAATAAAAGGTTTAAAAAATTGTTAATCCAAAATGATTTGTACCTTCTCTTGTAAACCCCTCTAAAAACATTTCTTAAAAAAAGGTTTTTAAATTACTATTTGTGCTTTAAAAAATCAGAAATTGCAAATCAAAATAACTTTAACTTTTTGTGTGCTTTTGATTTAACCATTAATAAATTAAAAGAAATATAATTAAAAAAACAGCCAGAATCAGAGAGACGATCCACTTGGCGGAATGGTGCTAATAAAAACGCGAACATGACAACAAAATTATTTGAACAAGTCGCGTCGAATGGATAAATGAAAAGTAAAAAACAAATAAATTAAATCAAATTGGTAGCGATCGAACAGCTAAAAATATGAAAGAAATATAGAGAATGTTGCACATATAATTTTTTATTAAAGATTTTTATGGATTTTTAAAGTTGTTTTTATGTAAACCAAAAAGTAGGTTTAAATGGTTCAGCCTAAAAATATGCGCCCAATTTTTCTATTTCTTACGCTTAATAAAATGTTGTTGTCAAAGTAAACTTATTTTGAGAAGAAAGATATTTTATATATATACTTTTTAATATATTAAATCATATTGCCTGCGAGAATTCTTCCATACAATTTTCTATAGAAAAATATATTTTCTAATGTTTGACCCTGACATATTTATTGTGGCGAAAAATCTAATTTAATGAGCAGTCAAAAAACATTGGAAATTTATAATAAACGAAATCAAATTCTGATTTTTATGTCTTATTTCTGTTGGGATTTTGTTGTTCTGTCAATTAAAATCCGAAAATTCTTAATGAGGCACGTAACAAGCTAGACAGGTGATCCCCCGCCATCCTCGATATAGAGAGATTCCCCTGACCATCCAAATTCAGCGAAATGTCATTAAAGAAGCTCGTAAAAATCCGAAAACCAAATTGCAAATAAATTAAGCATACGCAAAATAGGAAACCAAATGCATAAATAGATATTATATAGATTATATAGATGCCGTGGGTAGAGATCGGTGGATTAAAGATTAAAATCGTTTTCTGGGTGTTGAGTTTTTCTTGCGTCCTAAATCTTTTAACGCAACGATTTTTATTTATTTATTTAGCTTTCGCCTTCCGTATGCATCTGCAAGTATTTCGATTTAGAGTGTCATTGAAAATAATAATTTATTTATAATTCTCATATAGAGATGGGTATCTTGCGATTTGTATCTCTGAGGCCGCTTTTGAATATTTTACATATTATTACGCTTTATATTTAATTGACGCATTTAGTCGATAGGAATAGAAAAAACAAACGTGTAGCGCGTATATCATCGATATGAGGAACTTATATCTATAATGATGATATAGCAGATACATGTGGCTGTGTGCACATATATTATATCTGCTGCGCAGAGTCATGTACATAATTTGCCTATATATATATTGAATTTTTATAAGCGAATCGAAAATAAAAAAAAAATGAAAATGCGCAAAAATCCAATCAAATGTCACACTCGGTTGAATCTGAATAGTGTGGGTCTATTTTTTTTTGGGAAGGTGAGAAAAAAGAGGTAAACGATTGCAGATAAATATCGAACAAAAATTAATATTTGGGAATTTACTTCAAAAGATTTTAAAGAATTTAGGAAGAACTCTGATCACAAAATTGCTAAGGTAGAAAGTATGCGACAAGTATTAATTAATTAATACTAACAAAAGTTTCTCAAAGTGTGTTATTGTATATTCATATTAATAAATATAAATAAATTATATACAATTGATAAAACACAGAAAACGCAGAATTCATTAAAGGTAAATAAAAATATATATTTATATTTTGTTATAAATATTAATCAAGTTAGAAGCCTTGTAGTCTTGAAATTTTGTCCAATTTATTGTCAATAAAAACTCAAAAGAAAACTGACCTTCCCGTTAGATTTTTTAAACGTGGAACTTGGAATTCCAATCATGCTTATCGAAGCCCCTTGCCCCGCCCCTTTTAGCCCACAGGTGCCCCCCAACCCCTTCGGAATTTCGGCAGCACTTCTCCAATTTGGTAATGAGCCATGTGGTCAGCCCCTAGGCATTAACTGACCGATTTCCCAAAACGATTGCGATAAATTAACGTGTACTACCTAAAAAACGTACAAAAAAATATGGGAAGTGGGGAGGGGGAGGGGTAGGTGTGTAGTTCTTATCACAATGTGCAGAAGTTCCAACTGATAGAGCGTTCGGGGCAAACAAAAACCAAAACGAAAACCGAACGAGGCGAAAGTCAAACAAACAACAGAAATAACAATTTTTTGCCGGCAACGTTGCTAATGACGACACTGGAAAAAATGGGTTGAGAGTGAGAGGGCTTTGGGGGTTGGAGGTAAAGGGGTGTCAACTGCCGCGCGCTATTTGAAAATCGTTAACAACGTCAATGGCAACAAAAGTGCAGCACATTTTCTCGGCTCCACTCTGGGAAAAACTATAACCCTTATTTGTGCATTATATTATATGGATTTTCAATTAATTATTTTCCCAAAAATGCTAAAAACAAAAAACCAAAAACATACAATATTTTATTTTTTTTATTGTGTTATTTATTAATTTTTTTATTTGTTTAGAAGCTTTTACTAGGCATGTTTCGGTACAAAACAATTTTTTTCGATTTAGTGCAGGAAGAATAAAGCAAACAAGGGCAAAAATAATTACTTTAATTTATTTATTTAACACTTTATAGTATTTCAGTTTATACCAGCTAATAACAGCCTGATAGCAAGTGCTTAGAATGATATGTTTAGAAAATTGATAAGATATGAGAAATAATTTATTTCTTTCACAACAATAAAATAGAGAATTTAGTACCAATAAATTTGATAAAGTTTTGCATTATTTTCGCACCTTTTCTCTTATTATAATTATAAAATAATTTAAGTTTAATGTCTAGTTAAAACATTTATAGATGTTGCTCAAATTTCTCATTATAGTTTAATAACTTTTATTTTACTAACATAGGAAATTCAGAATTAAAGAACAAAGGTTATTTTGGAATCTTCTTATCGTTTATAGGCCGTTGCTTACTATTTCTTATTTCTACCCTCATTTTATTGATCCTTCATATTTAGGTTATTTTTATAGTATTTTTAACTTCTTGTTGAGTGTTATTTTGGGTATTATTTATTTCGTGGGGCATCCGTTCCCTGTTCTCCGTCCTAATTTCTTTTGGCTTTCACCCGCTCCCCTTAACCCTTTGTCGCCTCCTCGTTTTGTTGACGTTGGCTGACACATTCCGATTTCCCGATTTCATGACTTCCCGACCTTTTTTCCGATGCGGTTCGATGGCGACGACGGTCGAAATTCAGATTCAGATTCAGTCGGGCTACGTCGCCGGTTCGGTTCTGTACTGCTCGGAACTCGGAACTCGCAAATCGAACTCGATTCCAAGTCGATTCCGATTGCAATTCCAGCTTGAGCCTCACACACAATTCAATTTCGTGTTTGTTTACTCGCTTCAATTGCAATTAATATAAGTAATGCCAGTACATAGTGATGGAGATGGCATTAACAATAATAATAATAATAACAATAACGATAGCAACAGCGAAAACAGCGGCATCAATAAACAAATTTATTTTGTCATTCCGAAGATCGGCGGGCTGGCAATAAAATCAAATAAGAAAAAAGCTCGTGATCGAGATCGTGATTGTAATGATCATTGAATTGAACATTCACAAAGATCCACAATCGGACAATTTCTTGCCCTATTTACAGATTTATGTGCGACATGTGACTCTTTTCCATCTGTTGATTAATTGATTTCGGAACTAGGAATTTAAAAGTTTGTAATTTTTGATTTTAGTGGATTTTGTGTTTTTAAAATACCAACAACTTAAACCTTGGACAAATATTTCCAACGTTACGAATGCTAATTATTGATACTTTGCTATATCGATTTTAAGTGTAGTTAAAAATATATTGGTCTCATATAGAGAATCTTAAAGATCGTTCCCGATCTGAAAGTTATCTTATCGTTCCGGCAGCTGTGTTAAAGTTATCTAAACAAGTTTCATAAAATTCTATAATGATCATTAGATGAGCACTTATCTGGCCGATGTTA